CAGACCCATGATTAATCAGGGTGACAACTCTATCTGTGTTGCTTCTCTATTGACATTTACCAAGCACAAACACCATACATTATTCTTTATCTGTTAATTTGATGCCTGGCACATTTGAGTTTTGTGCGGTCAGAGAACGTGAGCGACTGTTTGGCTCTATCTGGACATCATATTTGGCTCGCTTGCTTGAGTGCTTTTGGCGCATATTTGAGGTTTGCTTTATTGTACATTTTGTAATGATTCCGCTAATTCAGTACCGTAGCACATTGCGGATCAATCTTGTTTTATTTCGAGATTCGTATCCGTTTCGGCTACGCGTCACTCAAGTGCAAATTGGTTGGCGTAGAAACCGTAAGCTTCTGGCTTTAAATAGATTCTTTGGGCTCTCTTTGGTGGTAGCATTTGCGGCATTCCGGTATTGCAGTAGGAAGTTGTCTAAGAGTATCTCCAACTGTAAGACTGACCCTGGATTTACAGAGGAAATGGCACTTTTCACCGTTTTCGCCAAGTTTTCTGCTGTGCCGTTTGAGTAGGGTTGACGTGGTGCTGTGCGGAGGTATCGTCAGCCAATATTGTCCAGGCATTTTTCAACTCCGTAACGCAGAATTACGATCGATTGTCATTCACCAACCCTTGAAGAACACTCAGCCGCGGACAATTTGGACCACTGCGAGAGAAAACCGGCTTGAGAAATTGTTTTACCCTATCGGTGCACTATATCGTAGTCGTTGGCAGCCAATGCAATGCTCCATTGCTGAATCATCGCCGCTCTCGGTTTGGAAATCAACATTTGTGAACTGAATAGATATTGCAAAGATTATTGATTTACCATGGTGAAAAGTAATCCAAATAGATATTTGTGCATGCTTCGGACGGCTAAATATACAGCCAATACTTCTTTCTGTGTCTGTAAATATCCTCGTTCTGCCGTATTCAATAAACGAGAGATGCAGGCAGCCGGAAATCTGTCTTGTTCGAGTACAGCACCAGTGCCAACATCGGATGCGTCAGTGATCAGTATTGGATGTTTCGTTGGAGAAAACGAGGCGAGTACTGGTCGGTCAGTCATCATTTGAATCATTTCACACTCGGAAGTCCATTTCCATTCCGTAGTTGACTGAGCAGCAAACAGCGTTATGGCTTTTGTAGCGAAGTTCGGGATGAAACGCGAATAGTAGTGGAGACATCCCATGATGGATCTGAGTTGATTTTGGTGTCTTGGTTACTCCAGTTCAGTCAATGAGCGGAAGTGACTTGGTTCAGGACGGTAGCCTTTTACATCCACTGTGAATCCCAAAAATTCCAATTCTGTTGAGCTAAACGTGCATTTGGAGGCGCAAATCGACACATTCTTTTGAGCGAACCGCTCCAGTAGTTTGCGAAGTCTATATTTATGCTCGGGCTTCGTTGTACCAAACGCAATGACGTCGTCCTGGTACGCTAACACGCCATCGAGTCCGTGGATGACTTCGTCAATCGCCGCCTGGAATATGCCTGAGGATGTTTGGAGACCAAACGGTAGGAAGTTGTATTGATATAGTCCCCACGGTGTGTTAATAGTGGTGAATCGCCGGCAGGTTGGGGGCGAGAGGAATCTGGAGGTACGCATCCGCCAAGTTGATCTCTGAGAAGCATGTAATACTGTGCAATACTTTCATTAAATCCTCTGGTTCCTTGGTGGTAGCCGCAAATTTTCGCAACCGTTGAGCGTGAATCGGTAATCGCCACAAATTCGCGGTGTTTTGACTTCACTCTTGATCACGTTCACGATTGGTGTTGCCCACCAACGGGATGAGACTCGTGTGATTATGCCATCGCGCTCCATTTTCTCAAGGGCCTGCAGTACACTATCACGTTCGCCATAGGGTATAACGCGTCGTTTCAGAAAAATGGGTTCACCATCAAATTCCAGTTTGACCGTCTGTACGTTCATACCTTCTGTGTTGTTGGAACATTTCACGACCAGGCGCTGTGGATGAATGTGCAAATTGCACAAGGTTTGTGACATTTGCAGCAGTTGTCTGTGCAAGATGGCAACCTGGCTGTTTGCGCACTCTCCAAATGTGGCCAGTTTTCCCGCATGCATGACACTTGGCCTTTCGGAAGCGGCAATTGGAGCACAGATGGTAAGCTCCACATGACAGACACGGGTTGATACGTTTATCGTTGCCTGAAGAGTCGTGCTGCGGCTTCGGTATACACTTGGCAACTGAAGGTCGGTTTGGTCGTGTCCTCTACCGTTGAAATAATGTGACTGCTTCGCTGGAAGTGGCTTTCATTAGGTCATCATTTTGCTTACAGATCTTGCGGGCATCGGTAAAAGTCAAATCTTTATTCTTCAGCAACTTCCGTTGGAGAGTCAGAATATTAATACATGCTTCCAAGTGGTCTAACATTTGTTCTTCCACAAGATCACCACATTTGCAGCGTGATGTCTGTTTGTTTAGCTTCAGGGTGAATTCACGGCAGGAAACATGATCAACACGAATCACGGAGTTTAATTTGGCCTTTTCGTGTGCTTG